GCGAGCGAGGGAGAGAGAGAGGGAGGTGGGAGGAGAGTGAGGCGGAGGGAGGCAGGGCTGAGCGCTATTTAAGTGTGGGAGCGGGGCTCAGCACCAGGCTCTGCACTCCCCGTGTGTGAAGGGAGTACAGACACACACACACACACACACACACACACACACACACACGTGCGCTCTCCTCGAACTCCTGGAGCAGAGATGTTCAGGGCCGCTCTCGTCTGCGCTCTGCTGCTGCTGTCGGCGGCCGCCGTGGATTTGGGAGGCTCTCCGTCCGGCTTCTACCCGCGCTTCAATCCCTTCTTCTTCTTGTGCACCCACCACGGTGAGATGGAGGGCCCCGGGGCCGAGGGAGGAGGAGAGGTGCTGCTCACCTTCCAGATCCACGGGAGCCCCAGCGCATACGTGCCGGGACAGGAGTACCAGGGTGAGTACAGGGCTCCGGCAGATCCGAGACCTCGTTAATACAAGGGGCATTCTCCTTCCTTCTGCAGTAAACTTGGGAAAGAGTACACACAAATTCATTTTACACAATTTCAGTCTTTCTACTTCAAAATGTTTCATTCAGTGTGTTTCTTTGTAATTATTTATCAAAGTAAATCCTACACCAGGACTTTTCAGTGTAGATCAGGTTAAAAATGGCTCTTCAAGGTAATAATCGCAGGTGAGCACTTTTTATCATTTTAAGGGTCTCTGTAACAGTGTTATTTCAGTATAATTTATATACCATTACAATTATACTAATATTTTGAATCAGCTTTTATTTTAAAATTTTATGTTTTTAGTTAAAGTCTTTTTTTTTGTCATTTTTAGTCGTTTTTGTTTGTTTTGCATACATATCTGTGTCTATATAGTTGTAGTTTTAGTTATTTTAGTACAGTTAAGTTAAATGAGAAAGAAATGTTGCCTCGGCAACTAGCAGAAATATACATATTTTTAATAATTTATTTCATTTTGTTTAATTTTTAAAAAATGGTTTTAGTCATTTTAGTTGTCTGTTTTAGTTTTTAGGTAACTCTAATAACCCTGGTCTGAGAAGAAAAAAAAAAACTTTTAAAAGCACATTTCATTGCAGGTAAGGATGCAAAAGCACAGCTGCTGCGTGTGAAAACAGATTGCAGTCTGTGTGTGAGTGAGATGATTGTGTTTATGTAACTGAGCACAAGTATTGATGTGAAGTTGAACGACTCTATTCCACTTTTCTCCGTTCTTCTGTGCCATGTGATCCCAGCGCTCATGTGTGGGTGGTTTATCCTGAGGCCAAAACCGCTAGGTTCTCACAAACAACTCACAAGAGCACAACAGGTGCAGCGCAGCCACAGTATATGTGAATAAGAGAGACACTCTCTGGATCAACACATTACACACAACTCCTGTAATGAAAACAATCACACTCTGCTCATGTAAACACAAAGCTGCGACATAAAGTGTAGAGGGATGCCACAGGTCTCCGTTTTCTTAATTTTACTGTCACAATATCTGAAGCGCTGGATGTAAAGCATGAGAGAGCCTTCGTTTCAACTCTGCTTTCTGCTGGTGTCTTGATGTTTGTGAAGAGCGGCCGCTGTTCTTTGTGTGAGGAGAGAAGCGTGAGGTCTTGTGTTCTCAGCTTTATCTTCCTTATCCAGACCTGCGAGATCTTCAGGGACATGTTGGTTCTCAAACACGCGCCTGCGTCTTTGTGCGTTCGGGGGTCGTGAGGATTCTGGGGATTAATGGGGATGGAAGGCTGAAAGACAAAGAGAACAAGCCAAAGTGCTGCACATTTATAGTGTCAACATTCTGGAAATAAATATGCAGATAATCATGCTGAGAGACTGAACAGGACAGACAGAAATGATGGACTGGACAACTACACAAATGTGAACCTGGACCACAAAACCAGTCATAAGGGTCCATTTCAGATGATGTATTGAGATCTGAATAAATAAGCTTTCCATTGATGTATGGTTTGTTAGGACAATATTTGGCTGAGATGCAACTATTTGAAAATCTGGAATCTGAGAGTGCAAAAAAATCTAAATATTGAGAAAATCATCTTTAAAGTTGTCCAAATGAAGTTCTTAGAAATGCATATTACTAATCAAAAATTAAGTTGTGATATATTTACGGTAGGAGATTTACAAAATATCTTCATGGAACATGATCTTTACTTAATATCCTAATGATTTTTGGCATAAAAGAAAAATCTATAATTTTGACCCATACAATGTATTGTTGGCTATTGCTACAAATATACCCCAGCGACTTAAGACTGCTTTTGTGCTGCAGGGACACAAATTACTATGTGAATAGTACAGAAATGAGTGTGAAACTATACAGCAGCATTTTAAAATATTGCATTATTTACACTGATAACGTCTAAATGACTTCTTTAGTTTGGCATCATATTCATCTGAGAAATCATCACACCGAGCTCTGTGACATGTCCTAAATTATAATGGAGGTTTCTCTTCAGTTTATAAAATACAGCCTGTTCCTAAAGGCAGAAGCGTTTCATTAGAAGTGAGGTTATATGGCTTGTGGCCAGTTGCATCTTTAAACAATAAGCGTGAATCATACGATCCACTTTAGAGACAAAATCAAGAGTCAAAGTTTATTTCTCAAATAAAGCAGCTGCAGTGCTTCTTGACAATAAAATGTCTTGTTCTACAAGCCCTTGGACAGAAATAGCGTCTAGAAGTAAAGAAAACCTGTAGTAACAAAAGCTGTAGCTGAGAAAAATGAGGCATTTTTGAGAAGGAGTGAGGTTGCAGGAACAGCTGAGAGTTGAATTATGAACAAAGCCCTTGTTAAATTTCTCCTCGTCCCACACGTTTATTCTGTAAAAGGTAAGGATCCTCGTGTGGGGAGGCTCGCTGAGGCGTGCTGGTGTTTTTCTGAGAGGTCAGATGCGAATGCTGGATCTGTCAGGAGCTGGAGGATATTTAATGGGGTCTGATTCTCCTAAAATCATCACAGAGGCAACACTGAGCACTTTTCTGAATATGATGGAAAATTTGCCATCGTTCACTCGGTCCGCTTTACATGCTGGGCTTTCTAACGCATGCCTCCTTTACTGACGAGCTTTACAATAGATCCCTGATGCTGAGCCGATCTGTAACCTCCGTCTGACATGCTGTGATGTCCCGTGGGAAATCAGATCGCAATTTCGGCAGGCTATGCTTTTTGTGAATTGATATACTAATGTGTGATTCTTGTACTCTTGTCACCATTCATCCACATTGACTGAGAAACAGATGAAATGTCTAATGGATCACTGACTTCACACCCAAATGATAGAGTCTGTTATCATGTCTCCTGCATGTCGAAGATGACAACTTAAGGCACATATTCAAGACTCTTTGATAAATAATGAACTAATGGAAACGTTTTTGCTGCATACATCACTCGACTGAATTATTTTACATTTATATAACAATAGTCCATTTACAGTTACTGTCCTCATGACAATACAAGAACTTGGGTTAAGCATAGCATTTTAATCCCTAATTTAATGTTAATTTAATGCAGACTATCCACCTTATTTTTCACGTAGGAGCAGGTGCGGCCATTTGTAAATATAATGTGTCTGGCTTCCGGTGTCATAACTGCTGGATATTGCAAACTGGTGTGTTTTACCATGTTATTTTAATGTATTATCTTAATTATGAACACACTGGTTTGTAGTGCAAACAGTTTTACCATTTACTGCAGGTTTTTATTCTTCTCGCTAATTCCCTATGGCGGCTAATCAACCGGAAGCCTCGCACGTTCACAGAAAACTTTGAAAAATAAGGTGGATATTTTAATCAGAATTACAGCGCTCTGTTGGTTTGACGCACATGCGCTCATTGACTGAAGCCTGTAAAGTTTAACAAGACTACTGTCCTTTAAGCAGAATGGAAACACTCGTGCTACTTTTTAACATTTACAGACGGATACAAGCTGCAAATGTAGGTTATGTGCTGGGAAAACACGACTCGAATGCATTAAAGCGCACTTGCGTCTGTCAAAACGCCTGACAGCTAAACACGTTAAATGCTTGAGAATTTGATTTAATATCAAGCTTTATTTAGTTTAGGACCAGCTCATTATGTGTCCTCCGATGCGTTTTGTCTATAGAATTACGTTATTCGCTGCTGTAAAGTAATGGGACTGGCGGATGCGTATCACAAAAATGTAATTAGTTTGATTGATTATTATCAAGTACACACATATTTGTTGCAGCCCTATAAAGAAAATCTCTCTTGCGCTGGCTTGTGACAGACGCACTTCCCGAATCGCATGTTTGCCATCTGTTGATGCAGGAGAGTCTCAGAGGTGAAGCTAATTAAGGGCCTGTTTACAAACCATATTAACACGCGAGGAGCTCTGGTCTGATGGATTCGAGGGGAGGGCCTCTGACTTCATGAGTGATTGGAGGATGTTAATAGCAGGTGTGAGCGTTATAAAACGCGCTTTTGATTACAGAGCCCATTCTGTGACATTGAACAAGTTCAGACTGCACATTTGTGAAGCATTAGATAAAGGAAAACGACTCCTCTCAGTGGAACCAAATGAATTCGCTCAAGATACTTTCCAAAGCTACGATGCAATAATTCACGAATTGTTTTGCAGCCCATTGTGATGGTTTTCTGCATAATGTGATAGCTGTTTAATGGGCAGGGCCTGCGCTGACGGCTGGCTGTTTGGCTCTGAATGTGACAGTGAAACACGGCTCAGGATTAATCCCATGCATCTGGCCATGTGTTTCACCCTGGATAGTGAGGATAGCAGTCGAACATGCCAGAGAGATGCTAGTACTGTGCCAGGTAGTCATTAAACTCGATACAAAATGGCCAGCGATGATGCCAGTGTGCAGAGCAACCTGCAGGCCATCTGTAAGCTTTTCCAAGCAGCCATTTCAGTCTCTGCATTTAGAAATGAAATGATCCAGTGGTCTCTAATGAGCGAAATGTTCTTCAGGGCTGCTGAACGAGGGGTCGTCGTTGTTTTGCTTGTTAACGCTGAATTACAGATTATGAATTGCTCCTCTAAAATTGCGATCAGTTTGCTTTCAAGTCGAGCTCTTTATTGAAAGAGTAATCACTGGCGATTAAATGGCTAATTCATGCAGAAATGAAGTAACTTCTTTCTGAATGGGCAATTAATTAATTGACACACCCGATTCATTCAAAACACAGATTCGTTTAGTAACGAAGCGCCGCTGTGACGTGCCGTGCTTCTTCTGTGGGTTTGTTTGCAAATATTTTCATTGGAGAAATAGAGCAAAAACAGACAGTTATAATAAGAGTCTAAAACGTAATTCCAAATATATAGTTTCACACTTGCAGTCGTGCTGATACTCAGGGAAAACAGCACACTTGCTCGTGTGATATTGTCTTATGATTACTTATGATGTAAATATAAGACCAAAACTCATACAGGGATATTTTGCCTCTGTAT